ACGTGCTTAAACAAGGGATCCCTAACCCCCCAACTACCGCCTCCTATACTCCCCCACCTAGCTACTCTGTGCTAGTTTATAGCAACAACGACAGAAACACCTCAGAGCAAACAAGAGAGCTACTAATGAAGAAGATATCACCACGCTCACTGGGGGTTGGTATCAGACGGTTGAGAAATATTGGCGAAGGCGGCATTGCAATAGACTGTACCACAGATGACGGAGCGCGGTTATTAGACGCAGAAATCTCCAAACAGAGAGATATTGGTTCGAGATACGAAGAGAAAAACTTCCCACTAGTGAAAATAGCCAACGTCCCCAAATCTATCGAAAGCAGCGAAATCCAACAATGTGTCTACCAACAAAATGAGAGTATTAAGAACTTGTACAGCGAGAGGCAATTCCACGACAAAGTCAAAGTGAAATTTCCCATGAGTCAAAGAAACAAAGAATACACTTCGTGGATCATTGAGGTACCACCACCCTTAAGAGTACTGCTTATAAAAGAGAAAAGAGTGAACCTAAACTGGAGTAGATGCCCAGTCTACGACTATCTGCCAGTGATTCAGTGCTTCAAGTGCCTAGCTTTCGGCCACAGAGCAAGAACCTGCAATGAAGAAAACAATTCTTGTAGCCACTGCGGAGACAAACATCTACTAAAGGACTGCACAAGAAAACAAGACCCGCCTAGCTGTGTAAATTGCTGCAGAGCAAAACACCCAGCTAAAGACCACAACTCCATGAGTAACAACTGCCCTATGCTCCTGAAAGCCAAAAAAGAAATCGCACGTAGATACGACTACACCACTTAGTGGCCAGTATCCCTCTACTTCTCTATGCATCCTGCTCCACATCTCCTTAGACCCCTCTCATTTACCGCCCATCCACTCTGTCTGCCTTTCTCTCAGACTTCAATAACCATGTACCTGGAATGAATCAATTATCAGCAGATTATGTCATCCCTTAGCGGTGGATTGGTAATAGCGCCCCCCTTCAAGATGGTCTTTCAAATGTCAACAGACTACTGTCACACTCCACTATGCATCCTAACTATTTTCTCATCTGTACTCACCCCTCGTTTGATCTTTTATCACATGTTCCCTGTATGTTGCACCCATATTTGCACCCTGTAAACCACTTGCAGTGATATTTTATTATTATGTGCCTATCCCGTGAACTATCTTTAATTGTTCTCCACCATATCTGTATGGTATCACTTAACATATGTACCTATTTTAATTATCTGCATAAACATCGGCTCTACTTTCACGTAACTTAGCATCTACTTATCACCAACTGTAACCGTTTAATGTACCTGTGTTTATTGTAACTGTGTATCTGTGCACCATGCACTGATTTGAACTGGTTTTTACAAACCCACCTATGTATTCATTGTATTTTGTTTTCGCTAATAAACTACCCGATGCAAGATAATCATGAGATCCCCCTACCCTCTTCTCCTTTCACATTTCACACTTTACTAAACCTTTATTCCCATCCGCTTTATACCCCCTTCTTCCTTCATTTCCCAAACGGGCTAAGTCGAAAGACAGCCTTCTAATCTATATTAAGTGTCTATAGCAACCAGAGGGCGTCGAGTAGCGAGTTGTGATAGTCAAGTGTTTTTGAGCTCCTGCTTAACTTGGAATAAAACAGTGAATTCTTTTCGTACAGTGACAAATCGGATATTGCTGGATTCGTCTTGACTTAAGGTGTCGAATGGTGCTACTTTCGAGGACCTACCCCCAAAATTTAAGGAGTTACGAACATCGGAAAAAGTGAAAAGTTCGGATCGTTTTTCCGGAAACTTGGGACCGATGAACCGGACCGGAGGAACGGAATTTCCAAGAACATTACCCTGTGAGTAAAATTTGAAAATTTGGTGGGTCTAGGACCTTTAGATTAGGAGTTAATTCACTTTAAATTCAGTTAAGTGTCGGGAGTCGGCGGGCCGCATCGGGTTTTGTGCGGGCCATCCGTGACTGAAAGTTGGGCGTTAGATAGTGCAAGTCATCAGTAATCAAGAGTAAAAATTTGGTATTATTAGGATATATAGAATTTAATTTAGAGCGAGTTGAACTTTCACCTAGTTTCATCACTGGACTGCAGTGTATCGTTGCCTTGGTAACGGTCATTGACCTGTAACGGCCGTTGCTGTTCCGATCTATTATTGACGTGTCTAGACTTTCCGGCGCCGATTGACGTCAGTCGATGACTCATCAGTAAAACAGGTGTTGTTTTTATGACATCATTTCAAGTTCAGGTGCTCAATTCATTACATCATTTTTAAGTGATTATTAAGTTCAGTATTTTAAAGGATAGTTTTCGTTATTTGGTGTTTATTTAACGGACGTACTTCGACATAAGATGTCTGATTCGGAGAAAGATATAATGGAGACTTTTTTAGAGGAATCTTTTACAATAATAGATGAGATTAAAGGATATATTGCGGAAAATCCGAATGGTCGTCTGTCGACAGTTGACCACAAGCGATTCTTTATTGAGCAGGTTACCAAAGTAATACATCTGGCAGAGGCCACTTTTAAAAATAAAATTATTTCTAGTGAAGAAATTATTACAAAAAAGGAGTTAACTAACCTGCTTAACAGTCAAAACGAAAAGACAATGACTGCTTTAACAGAGTTAAACCAAGAAATTAACGATCTAAAAGAAAAAATAAAGAACAACTCTAAAGAAAAAGAGGAAAATACTAATTTAAAGAAAGAAATAAAACAACTTATTAAAGATAACACTAATAAGACAATGGAGGCTATTAACTTGGTAAAAGGTGACATAAATAACCTTAACGAATCTTTTTCGGCCGGGACAAGCTCACAGCAAGCTCATAATACGAGCTATTGCGAGGTATTAAAATTAGGAAAGGCACAACCAATGATTAATGTTCATCCTGTTTCACCCCAGTATACTTTATTTATATACAATAATGATAAATCTTGCAAATCAGAGGAGACAAGGGAAATCCTAACAAAGAGAATCAGTCCAACAGAGTTGGGAATTGGGGTGAAACGAATCAGACCTATCAATAACGGAGGGGTCGCAGTAGACCTAACAAGTACGGATGACACATATAGACTGAAAAAAGCCATTGCATGCATAAAGGAATTAAAAACCACAGAAAAGAAATATAAACTTCCAACAATTAAAATCGTCTCTGTACCCAAATCAATTGATAAAAAAGAAATCATTGAAAAATTATACGAACAGAATATCTGCTTTTCCGAGGAGTTGTCTAAGGAATGTGTCATGAATCAACTGATAGTTAAATTTGCAATTCCACAAAAAGATCAAAATTCTCAAACGTGGGTGTTCGAGGCAACACCTATGATAAGAGAAATAATGATGAGGGAAGAAAAACTCTTTATTGGATGGGTAAGGTGTAACGTTTATGACTATGTCTCAGTGAAACGCTGTTTTAAATGTCTCGATTTCGGACATTTCGCGAAAGACTGTACAGTGAAAGAACAGGTTTGTAGTCATTGCTGTGGCGCACACGTCTACAAAGATTGTGAAAAACAAGGAAATGCAAATTGCATCAATTGCACAAAAATGAAACTACACAATACGAACCACAATGCAATGGATAAATCTTGTCCTTGCTTCATCAAACAGCTGCAAAAAATTGTTGGCAAACCTGTCTAATGCCTCATTGTCCTGTGTTTATAAGCATTTGCAGGCAATTCCGAGTGGGAATCTTGTACTTTAAGGAATAGGACGCATTTTATTGACTGCCAGGGCAGTTTTCGTCATTCTGTATTTTGGGTACTCATGAATGTTGTCAGATATTTATTGTCGGGTGCACTATGTATTTTCTGTTTTGTTCATTTTTCTGTATTTATATTGTTTTATTCGTTAATAAAGACCGATGCAGGGCGCCCATGGGACTTTCTCCCTTTCACCCTCTCTCCTATCTCACTTTTCTTTCCCCTTCTCCTTCGACATCTAATCTTCCTCTTTTCTGTCCCCNAGATTGTGAAAAACAAGGAAATGCAAACTGCATCAATTGCACAAAAATGAAACTACACAATACGAACCACAATGCAATGGATAAATCTTGTCCTTGCTTCATCAAACAGCTGCAAAAAATTGTTGGCAAACCTGTCTAATGCCTCATTGTCCTGTGTTTACTCTGTTTATAAGCATTTGCAGGTAATTCCGAGTGGGAATCTTGTACTTTAAGGAATAGGACGCACTTTATTGACTGCCAGGGCAGTTTTCGTCATTCACTACAACTTTCTTCATATACATGCAAGATGGCATGTCTCCTTTCTGTGTTAAAACTTCACAAAGTTTTCTTTTAAAGCAGCTGATCATTTCAAATGGAACTCTGGACTGCTGCCGCCTTTTATTCATCATGTTAAAATTGTATTTATATTTCTGTTTTGTTCATATTTTGTATACTTTGTTTTTTAAATAAACGGAACCCGATGCGGCTCATGACCTCCCCTTCCTCTTATTTTTCTTTTCACACTAACTTCATCCCCCTTCGGCCTCTGCCAGTAATCTTGACTCACGTCTATATTCTTCTCACTTCATTTCATCCCCTTTGAGGATAAACCAATGAGTAATGCCTCCTATAACCTTTCATATAGAATGTCTATAGCAACCAACACCTTTCATGGGATCTCATGAGCGTCTTGCATCGGGTTCCTTAACCCGGCGTTTGGTTCATCCCACAGCGCCAGTTCTGCTTACCAAAAGTGGCCCACTGGGCACTCACATCCTGAGAATCGTCCGGGCTTCAGTCGGGTAAACCGGACTTCTCACCCATTGAAAGTTTGAGAATAGGTTGAGGTCGTTTCGGCCCCAAGGCCTCTAATCATTCGCTTTACCGGATGAGACTGATTCCGATCGAGCACCAGCTATCCTGAGGGAAACTTCGGAGGGAACCAGCTACTAGACGGTTCGATTAGTCTTTCGCCCCTATACCAAGGTCTGACGATCGATTTGCACGTCAGAATCGCTGCGGACCTCCACCAGAG